TGAGGAACAAATGAATGATAGATAACAACTTGGACAGTTATTCCTATAATATTGTTCTTCTAGTCTATATCTATTTAGCAGATCCATATGTAGCTTGTTTCTGGGTTGGCTCTTGGACCATCATCATGCCTTGTCCCAGTGGTTCCTCAATGTTTCTCTTTCATTACAGCAATTAAGCTATCTGTAATAAAGGCTACCAAATAATAAGCTGTTTATCTAGGAGAATTTAAATCAGAGATTCAGGATGGTAGTGTAATTCGGTTGATGGATGGGAGTGAAGAGACCCAAGTTCAGATTTGAGTTCAATCATAGAGATCACTCGTTTACTTTGATTTAGTCAGATAACATCTGAAACTGCCTTGCCTGGTTACCCCATTGCCAGAATGGGTTAACTAAGGTAGAAACAGACATCTGCCTTCTGTTGCAAATTTAACTACAGTTATTATTATTATTATTATTATTATTATTATTATTATTATTCATTAAATTATTTTTAAAAATTCTTTCTGAGCATCCTATGTCTTCCTGTGCTTGCTGGCTTCTTTGATTGATTTAGAGCAATTCCACAATTTCACCTCAGAGGAAAAAAATAACTCCCACCTTTTTTTTAAAAGAACAACTCTGATAAGAGAATGCTGGTGTAGTTAACTCAAAGCTGATAAATGCCATACAGGTAGTCCTCAGCTTATGACCACAACTGACATCAGAATTTCCATTGCTAAGCAAGGTGGTTGTTCCGTGAGTCATGCCCAATTTTATGACCTTTTTTTTTGCCACAATTGTTAAGTGAGTTGTTGCAGTTGTTAAGTGAGTCTGGCTTCCCCTGCTGACTTTGCTTCTTGAAAGGTGATGGGGAAGATTGCAGATGTTGATCACATGACTCCAGGATGCTGCCACCATTGCAAATGCATGTCAATTTCCCAGTGCATGAATTTTGATCATGCCATTGAGGGGATCCTATGATGGTCGCAAGTGCAAGGACTGGATGTAAGAGGTTTTCTTCAGTGCCAGAAACTTTGAATGGGCATTAAATGAATGGTTTATTATTATTCACATTGCTTGGTGAGGTCATCACTACGAAACAACTCATATTTACATGTTATTAGATTTAACACAGTTCTGCATCCAGGAACATGTTCTCTCAAAGGATAACTTTAAAAAAACCCACCACAAACTGTTATAATACAAATTGACTTTTCCTTTAAACTTGGAAAACTAAGCTAGTCCAAACTTCAGAAACATTTGTTCTTTAAAGTAACTACAGTTTTACCCATCAGAATTTAAGCCAGTCTTATGTTAAACCCCTTCAGGCAGACGTACTGTTGATCCTCCCTTTCCTTTGCTTTTTGTAGCTGATTTGTACCTAGACTTTCTACCTGGTATGATTATTTAACACAGATTCAATTTAATTGGGTGTAATTTATAAATTTAGTAAATTCTAAATTTATAATTTGGAAGGAAGGAGTCTTGGAAAAATTCAGGTTTGGACAAGAATTATCCATCAACTACTTTGCAGGATTTTTACAAGGTTGGTTTTCATAAATAAGGTTAGCCATACTTGTTGTGGCAGACAATAGAATCTTACATCCAGATTTTTGTCAGATATAATATTCTTGCTGGAATGTCCCAGAGTGAACAACTCGGTCAATGATTAAAAAATAGGAAAAAGAAAAGGCCAAATGTAAGTAGCTGGTGCTATTTTTTTAATGGTTTTTTTTTAAATCAACCATTACACTGTTGGAAGCAAATGTGTACAATCAACCTCATATACCGTACACACTCAACAAATAAACCTATCTGCAAATTTTTAACCAAAATATTATGAAAAATGTACCACGCGCAAAATAAGCTGACCTGCATTTTGCATGGTATTTTGGTTAAATATTTAAGAGTCTGCTTATCTATGGATGGGTTTATCTGCAAGTATATATAGGAAATACTTGAAGTATTTAAAAATATTAATATATACCCATGGATAAGCCCATTCATGGATAGGCCAACCCCAATTTGGGAGTGTCCTTTAGCACATATATTTCCTGGTTTCTTCACAAGTATATATGGTATTTTAAAAGTGCACAAACATTAAAAGTAAGGATTCCAATAGTAGCTATCTTTCTTTAATCAACATCTACAAATGAAAAGGGCCATTTTCAACATTTTTCCTACCTGCTACAGCAACTCATTTTGTCCAAGCTACAGGCACATTGAAGGCACCCAGATGACGCCCATTCAGTTCCTGGCAAATGCTCTGTTTTATCAGAAATGTCAATGCATACCCTCTCTAGGGAAGAAAATTCCAATCAGTCTCATCTGGCCAGAAGTCCTATCATGAAGTTAACCCCTTAAAGAATATTTCATGAGAAAACTTTGCAATTGGCCTGGTGTTGGACATGCAATTCAGAAGTTGGAACTTTAACTGATTAAGTTTGGGATTATCCTTCTTTTAACCCTATTTAGAAACCATAGTAAAATTATAAAACTAAACACATTACAACATTAAAATTATCAATGACCTGGGTTCAAGTTAAACTTCTGATCTGCAATCAACATACCTTATCCAGTACTTGGGGACAGAATGGTATAATCTGCCAAGGCCAACTTGATGCAGCCAAATCGAAATGGCCAACTTGATGTGGCCAATTCGCCCTGGGACAACTTATTGTGGGACAATTCGGTGCAGCACAACTCAACACAGGACAACCCAATGCAAGATTACTATTATCTGCCACTGTTTCTTTGACATTATTTTCATTTTTCTCATTCACAATTCATTTTGTCCCTCCTTTAGCATCCTTTCTTTAATGATTCCATTACACCATTTCTTCAATATTAGTGTAACTCTTGCATTTCTCAATTCACTTAGTTCTTTTTACCTGCACTTAAGGCACACAAGAGTGCCTTTTGGGCAATTGCACATGTACCCACTGCTATAAGGTAAACCCATTTTTTGGCAGGATTCACTGTGAGACCGGTGGTGAATCAAGAAATACAAGAGTTATACTAATACTGAAGAAATGGTGGAATAGAATAATTAAAGAAAAGATGCTAAAGGAGGGACAAATAACATCAAAGAAATAGTGGCAGACAACAGTAATGCTACCTTGTGTTGAGTTATCCCACGTTAAATTGTTCTGTGGTGAGTTGTCCCACAGTGAATTGGCTGCACTGAGTTGGCTTTGGTAAATTGATTGGGATGAATTGGCTTTGGCAACTTGGCCATGATGAGTTGGCCACAACAAACGGGCCATGAACAGCAACTCTGGTCCAAAAACCAGGTGTTCAAAGCTTTAAGGAAAATTAGGAGGATGAAGTCCTACTGAACTTCAGTGGGTAGAGTGTTCCATACAGCAATGCCATGGAAAAAACAGTATTTTGGGGAAGGGATTAGGACTATGTCCATCTTGTCTGACCTAGTAGGACAAATACAGGTCCTTGGAAAAGATGGTCCTGCAGGTAACATACGCCTGTGTTATATAGGGTTTTAAAGGTGATGATCAGCACCTTGAATTGCACCCAAAAAGAAAGTGGAGGCCAGTGTAGCTCACTTCTGAATTAAAGGCTCAATGAAACTGTACTGATTACAAACATGTACAAGTTGCACTATTCAAAGAAACAGAGAAGGTCACCATAGGCATCACATTACCATTGTTCATGACTGTTCTAGGTACTATGAAAAATCCATGACACAAATTAAGAGTGATGTTTGATAAGCTTCCAGAGTAAAAATGCATTCAGAACGTGGAGAGTATTTCTATTATTTCACAGGTCACTTTTTTAAAATTTCCTTGATTAGGAGTAAAACACACAGAGTTTATATTTGGGTGAGGGGGAATTCTGAAAAGCTTGGAGGAAAAAGCACCTGAGATTCAAGAGTTCCCTCCTCCTTCTCAGATGTTTTTACAATGGTTCATTCTTTTACCCAGAAGACCAGGAACACAAATACTTTTGTTTGTAAAGATTGCAGAGCCACAAAGATTGCAGTCACAAAAAGGACAGGTTAAAATTGCTCCCAGGGTGAAAGACACCCTCCCACCACCAAATGTAAGCTATATCTACTTTACAGGAACAAACAGACTCAAACTACAAACAAATTGATGATTACATGTGGAGCAACTGCATACTAGCATACATATGGACTCATGGCTACGTAACTGCAAATTTTTGAAAATGCACTAGGCAATTTCTTATCCCTACTATGCTATGTCTAGGCTATATCAAGTATAAAATGTCTCTATTTTCCTACAAGCTTCAATGAAATAAAAGGGCAAAAAGTAGTTCTGAAGATGGAAATTATTTTTTTAAGGTTCTAAAGCCTTTGGCAACGCTTTTTTTGTCATAGGCAGGCAGCAGTTTTACACTTAAGCTTGGCAGCTTATTTATCTCTGCAGATCAAGCTATTTGAGAGAATGGCTCAGGGATGATGGGATTTGCAGGCACCGGCTCTGGGAAACTCTTCCATTGGCAGATGTCAGCCTTCCCACAAAGGAAACAACACTAGGTGTTTAATTCTTCTTTATTATGAAGCGACATAACAGAAGCTTCCAAGTCTGGAAGTATAAACTTCCCGACGCCATTTTTAGTTGTCTGAACAATTAGAGCGGGTCTTGCTAAGTTTCTTCCTCAGACCTTCAAGCGACTGAGGGCTCCTGCCTCTCTTGTCTGTTTCCTAGGCTGCATTTCTTCACTTCCTTCCCCAAAGTCATCCACGCCACCCCGTTACAGAGGGCGATGCCCCCGCCCCAAACATTGCTTTTCCAATTCTTGTCTGTGTGCTGGAGAACTCGGGAGAACGCCCCCTCCCGCTTCGCGATCCACTTTCACTTTTCCTTTTCCACTTCCACTTCCCTTAGCGGCGGCTGAGTGGCGAGTTCCTCCTCGGGACCCGCTTCTTTTGCTCCGAATTCTCCAGGCCGGCGGCAGGCGGAGGACAGCGATAAGCGAGGGATTGTGCGGGGAAGCGAGAGAGTTACCTTCCTCTCCCTTCCTGGACCAGCGGCAGTTCCCCCAGTCCTCGAGGTATCTTGACTGCAAGCAAACCCGACGGGCAGGAGTGATACTCTTCTGCCAGCCTCCAGCTCCGACGCCTCGGTGCTGCCCGCTTATTCACTGGATCACAAGAGGCAAAGCCTACCTGCTTCCCACCCCCGCCTTCTATCTTGAGTAGAGAAGACTCAGGCGGTCGGTGGGAAAAGGAAAGTGAAAGTCTCTTCAGGGTTAAAGTAGAGTGCAGCAGGCCGGTAATGGAGGGAATGGAGGAGGAGCAATAGCCGAGAGGAAGAAGTAGCTTTGCCTGACCCCCGTTTCTGCTTTTTCCACTTTTTCTGCTACCCCCTTAGAGACCCTTGAAAGTGGTCAGAGCCGGATGGAGCTGATTTCTCCTGAGGGCTTCGTGTATTTAACTTGGTTTCTTCTCCATGGGCCTATCTAAACTTTAACCACACTAGATTTCATCCCTTCAGTCAGATTTCTATTTCAACGTTTACATTTTCTTTCTTCTAGGTACATCTGACTGAGACCCACAATGTCACACACTCCCCGCTGCAAACTAGTTGACTATTTTGAAGAGCTGAGTGAAGAGGAATTTGAGAAATTTAAGATGCACCTTGAGGACTACCCAGTGGAGAAGGGCTACAAGCCCATTCGTCGCTCCAAGACTGAGAAAGCTACCCACATTGAAATAGCCCGATACATGATTGAGGCATATGATGATGCCAAGGCCCTGAAGGTGACCGTCAGCATTCTGGACAGAATAAATAAAAAGGATCTGGCTGCAAGAATCCAAAACGAGATGCTGGAATGTAGGTAGAAAAAGCCCAACTGCGTATTGGTAACTCAAAGGTGATGCTTAAGCTAAATTCCTTTGTTGGCTTCTGTTCCTCTTTCCCCTTGGCTTTCTAATATTTCTCTCAAAATCAGTATGAAGAAAAGGGAAATAGGTATGACATAGTGAATGTAGTATTTAATATGGCCTATTGTGTTATTCCTGCTTTTTCTGCAGCTCAAATCCCACCTCTTGTTTTCACTGATTTGCTAATCTAGCAAACCCAAAACAACCAGAGGGTGTTTTGTGATTTAATAGTTATCCTCTTTGTCTTAGCTGAGACATCCACCTCCTCAGACAAACAAGAAATCCTTTTACATTTTTATTTTTGAATTTGATATTTTGAGGAAAAATCCTGTTGGCCAAGTTTTCTCAAGGCATGATACTCAGGCACTCTATAGTCTATTCAAACATAGAAGTAGTTTTAATGTTCAAGGGCACATTGATCATAGAGAACAAACTGAACACACTAAAAATAACCTTAAATGCTTTTACTTTTAAATCACTATATTATAATTATAATTCGATCAATCTTTTTGCTTACTGGAAACTGATAGTGAAAGAAGAGCTGGAATTGATTCCTTTTTGTCTTCCATTGTTTATTGGACCCCAGAGTTGCAGGAATTTCTACTAACTCTCTGGGAAGTAATGCCCTTCAAGATGTGTTGCCCCAAATGATGGCAGTTGAGATCTAGCACACTTGGAGACATCTGGTTGGAAAAAAAATCTGATCTACCCAATATTTCTTGTGGCTCATTTTTATCAGTTGATGCTCATTGCATTAATACTGGGCTTAATGCGTTAATTTGTTTAGCCTATCAAATGGTTGCAGAAGGAACAAAGGGAACCAAGGAGCTTCAGTTTCTTCATTTGTTTTTTAATACAAGAATGATCATTTATTTCTGACAGATTTCCTTCCAAAACCATCCGCCATGACCAAAACAGAGAAAAAGGCACAAGAAAAAATAATACTGTCAAATCTATATGACAAGTTTTTTGGGATTCCAAAGAAAGGTTAGTTGCTGGTGAATGAATTAATGTTCCTAAACAAAAGTCCTGGGGTGGCTGCAGCAAGAAGGGCAGAAGGAGATAGATCTGAATGCTTGTCTCAGTCTCTGAGTTGCTGTCCACCTACTTGGGCCTGCATTAACCTTCCACTACCTGAGGCACCCCATACTCCATTTAACAAATGCATTGGGGAGAGCAGGTGTGGATGTTGTTAAGTGGGACAATCATGTCAGTGCCTGAATGACCATCACAACCTGAGAGTATAATGGACAATTATGTCATAATTCAAGAATTATCTGTAGAAAGTCAAATTAAATTTCTTGCTAGTAAATTCTTCCTTTCTGGGGTCTAATTCATGTTTTGTAACTGCCACATTTTTACTCCAAGCTTAGCTCTCTGTTTCTCTAGAAATGTAAATGCTTATAGTATCCTTACTGCATTTTGTCTGAGGGCTCATACTTACATCTCCCTAACAAGTAGCCTTTCCTACATAGATATCACATGTATGAAAGTGGGTGCCATTTTGGAAGCAGCCACCATATTGTGCATAAGCAAATAAAGAACAGAACTTTGGTTGAATTGTTCTATATTGTTTTTAACCTTAGCCTGACAGAAAATATTCTAATCTTTTTATCTACAACTTTAGTTGAAGTGATCTTGGATCCCAAGACAGCTTATCCTGCTCTCATCCTTTCAGAAGATCAGAAAGGGGTACATATGGGGGAGCAATCCCAGGTCCTTTTTGACAATCCTGAGCGCTTCCGTTTTTTGCCAGGTGTCCTGGGAGCAGAAGGCATTGACTCTGGGACTCTAGAATGGGTGGTGGAAGTAGGCAAGGCCAAAGAGTGGGCCGTTGGGATTGCTCGGGAATCAGTAGAAAGAAAATATTCAGAAGATATCACCATTAATCAAGGATTCTGGGTACTGCAGCTAACACAAGGAGAGTACCAAGCTTCTACAAGCCCTCCCATCAAACTTACACTTTGGAAATCACCACAACGTATCTTGATTATCCTGAAGCATGATTTTGATAGACTCATCTTTTACAATGCTGACTCAATGGATCACATCTTTACTTTTAATTATCCATTTTCTGAGAAAGTGTTCCCTTTTCTCTTAGTGAGAGACAAAGAGACTCCCTTGAAAATCTCTCCAAGAACTTCAGTGACAAGACATGGAGAGGAAAAGAAAAATGAGTTTTGAATCATTTGTTTATTTACTCTGGAACAGTTTCTTTTAGAATGACTGAGTTTACTGTTTTATTAATCTTTGATTCTTGCCTAAAATGTTTTTGAACCTTCAATCTATATCTTAATAAAGAATATATAGATAGATGGTAGATAGAGACGGTTTTTTGTTTAAATGCTTGCTGTTTTCTTATTATTGTGTTCTGTATATTTTTATTTAATGTTTTAATGTAAATTATTGTACTAATTGATGATTTTGTTTTAAGCATTTTTCTGACTTTAAAATATGAAACAGAAATATGTGCAGCTCAGAGTTTGATATTTTAGTTGTGTGTGAACTTGATTGTTGTTTGTAGAAATTTGATTACCCAACTTGGTAATATCACCAGTGTGAATGAGTATGGGGTTTGCTGCCTGTTCATGTGTAGTAGCTTGCTCTACCAATTTATGTGTAGCAGCTTGCTGTACCAGTTCTGGCAGTGATATGATTTCTTCCTTGGTGATTCCCATCCATTCCAAGAATTCCACAAATATGAAACCTTGTACTAGTTTTTATAACTGAATTAACTAGTTTAATATTTTATTTTTCATGTTCTAAACATTTGAATTGCTTTCATTTCTTAACTGAACAGAAATACAGATTATGGTATAGATTGATATAGGTTAAGTAATCTTTCTTTGAGTCAGTCTAAGTTCAGTTGTTAAGAGTTCTTTTATATTCCTTAAAATCCTTTCCCCTTCTATAGTTGCTCGCCGCCTTTAACTCTCTTCTCCCCTAGTCCTTCTGGGGTCTTTACTTTATAGCTCTTCCCAATCAGGGGATCAACATTTTTAGGTCCAAAAGGAAAAGGAAAAAGAACAGGCTCACTCAGTTTCAGCACGCTGTTGACAATCAGCTGTTTAGCGGAGCGCCACTGGTCATCACTTCTTTTGGCTGGTGACAACTTGGGCTGCCTGAGTATTACAAAATCTTTGCTCAATATTTAATTAATGTCATGAAATGGAACAGCTGGATTCACATAAAATGCTAAACTAAAATGAGATTGAGGTTCAATATTTCTAGCAGATTGCATGAACTCAGCCATTACATCAAATTATGATATGGTTTACTAGTAATAGCATGTTGTGTAATTACAGTAATTATGCTTATTAATCTGGTTTTAGGGTTCAGGGCAGAGTTTCTTAAACTTTTGTAGAACATAGAACACCAGCCACACATGCCTTTTATCTGCAGCATCTATAGATATTTCTTTTTGGAAAAGAGGAGATAAAAGGAATAATGACACAAAACCAGCTTTAATTATATCTGTTCCTCTTTATATTATATGCATTGATTATATAGTGTAAATATTAACAGAATAAATGACTTTTCCTGAACATTTCTATGTCTGATTTGAGAGGTTTTTAAATAACATCTTGGAATCAGCAAAACATTCATCCTATTTCAATAGCTAGTCTTGATTGTAAAGAAATAAAAATACAATATTTTCACATAAAAGTTTGTGTTCTCTGTGAATGTTTATCTAAAAGTTTTCCAGTGAGGATTTTCTTTCTCCAGTTATTTTAATGTAACATTAAAGAATCTTTTTTAGTATACTTGGTTGGTGAGACCGAGTGGCTCTAAGCCTCATATCTTGGGAAAGCAGTAATATCCCACAATGAATGAAGTATTTAGTATGTTTTATGAAACCAGACAATTAGTATTAGCATTTGCAGTGTCCCCTGTACAGCTTTCTCAGAACTCCATACGATAATTATCACTATAGATTTGGACAGGGAATCATCAAAGATCCATTTTTTGTATTAACTAACTATTTTGGTTTTTTGTATTAACTTATTTATGTCTTATAGCTTATACAATTTTTATCTTTTATGATTGTAAGCCCCCCAGAGTTACCCTGGTCAGTGGCCAGTAAAATTTAGAAAGACAGAGAAAGAGAGAGAGAGAGATAAATCTAGGCAACAAATTAAGGCTGAAGAAAGACACGAAGTAAAATATATGGTGCCCTTCGTCATTTTAACCTTTGCAACAATTCTGAATGATATATTAGGTCACAGAAGAGTGAGTCACCTGCTAAACATCATAACTGAGTAGATTTGCACCTAGGTCTCCATGCTCCAAGTCCATTTTGCTAACCCTTATACCACAATAGCTCTTAAAGATTAGTTTGCAAGGTCAAGCCGAAATACGAGGGCAGTTTTATCATTGTTTCAGTCATAAATTGTGGGAAAGAAGGAACTGGACACATTTTCTTCCTTTTGCAAGGAAGTAGATAAATAGACATATGGTTACACATAGTGTTTGGCAAGCTGCCTCTTGGTTAATGTTTATCTGTTACCAATCCTTCACTAAGACAATCAGTAAAAGTACAGCATTCAGATGTCTTTTGGGCTATAATTCTCTGCATTTGGAGAACTCTTTATGGTTACTTTTTGATAAATGTTTTTTTTTTAAAATTGCATACTCAGAAACAACACTATCATTTTATAAATTCCAGAATGAGTTTTGGCATTGAAAATAGGATCTATGCACAGTAAGAATCCTGAAAGGGGATGAGGATTAAGTTGCAGGAATGATTTAACACACTTTTATAAATAATACATAATTTGACTTGTATCGATTTTGTAAGTGATAAGATACCTAACTCAATTTTCTCTTATTTAACACCAACAATTAATAATTACATAGATACCTATAATCTAAGAAAATTGACTGTTGGACAGATTTGAACTCAGATCATCAAACAGTTCAACAACTAATTGTTCTAAATTTCAATACTTTGAACATTCAAGAGAAAATAATCTAAAACTAAAGGGGGGTTTTTTGGAAGGCATTAAAAAACTCAGCTTAGTTCAAACTCCAAAAAGATCAAAACACCTTCTATTCCTCTAAGTGTCCTAAAGGGCAGGATTGCCACTTACTAAACCACAGACTTCCAAGTGAAAAATATATTGTGAATTTAACTGAATCAATAAATTACAATAAATTATATCTTTAAAGTAACCTTAAAAGTTACTTTAGTGAATAGAAGACAAGAACTCTCTTGCACTCAGTTCAAGCTCAGATTTCGTCTAAAGCATTTCTGAAACATTTTGAAGCCCTGCTGTCTTCTTCAGTCTTTCACACAAGCATTAAAAGCCGCATCAATAACACACAAAACGGTCTAGGACATTTAGGCATCGAGCCTTGGCCACACCCCCTTGGCTCCCTGCCATCCACCTCAGCCGATTTACAGCCAGCTTTCATTCTCCACTGGCTCTCTTCTGACCATTCTCCATGGCCAATGGGTTTCTGGCTCTGCCCGTCACCCTTTGTCCCTGCCCATTGGCCCAGACACCATTTGACCCCGGCCTTTGACTGCACAGGATAAATAACCCCCAGCCAATCGCATGGTGTCTAGAAACCCTAGAGGTGTCTCCCTTCCTGGTCACCTCTCAACACACACTCGCCTGTCTGCCCCCCTCTGCCCCCTTCTTTTTATAATTCAGGCCCTGTCCCTCTCTCTGCGACCTGTCAGAACCACTGCTATGGAACCATCCAATTGGTTGGAAAGCGCAGCCTCTTTTAAAAAAAAACTTGCGGGGCAGCCGCAACACTTTTTAAAAAAAATCTTACATTGCACACTGCCCACCCCACAGCCCCTGCGATCGCCCCACCCATTGCCAATCACCAATCGTCAATTGTATGCTGCCCCCGAAGCACCATTGCTTCTGCCTACTACAGTATCTGGGCCAATGGGCAGGGACGAAGGGCAAGGGGCAGAGGGCCAGGGACCCATTGGGCATGGAGAATAGCTGGGGAGGGCCCGCAGAGGAGGAAAGCTGGCTGTATATCTGCTGAGGCAGGTGGCTGGGGCAAGCAAGGCGCTGCCAAAGTTCAGTGCCTAAAAATCCCACTCTGCACACAAAAACTTCTACAATCTGTAAAAAGAAAACCTGGGTAGAGATAAGGGGCCTGCCTCATTTTCAATAGCAGTTGGTTAGGTAATAAACATGGAAAATGTGGAAGCTATTCTGTTGCAGAATTTGAAACTGAAATCTTGAGAATGTGGAGTTGGAAATAGAGACTATGAGAATACAGATAGGGAGCAAGCTATATAGCAGTATAAGTATTCTTGAAGGTAATTTGGATTTAAATTGTAAGGATTTCTTTATCAAAGTAAATCTCTTTTGGTGGAAATGCCATATTTACCTCAATAAAGGTCCTTTGAGTTGAATTCAACCCCGGTGACTTTGTGGCCATATCTACAGTATATAGTTTTTTTTGGCAATAATACAGAAGTGGTTTTTTATTGTTGCCTTTATGTTTCTTTGACATCTAGATTAGCCTTTAAACCTGATATTTCCTGGTGACCCCCTTTCCAAGTATTAACCAGTTTCAACCCTGCTTAGTTGCTGACCTCAGCCAAGACTGTCTAACTGATGCTCCCTAACTGGACTTTGCCTGAAGGCCACATTCCAAATGGCTTCCCCTCCTGGAATTGTTTTCTGGCAGCTGAATACGATGAAGAAAGGTTATTGACCGCAAAAGCACAGCTCAATGTGACCAGTAAAAAAAGTCAGAGCTTCTTGGAGTGGCGCAATTCAGGCAACTTGATTATTTTATGAGAGCAGTGTTGCCAACAGTTTGCAGAGCAATTCCACAGTTTAGTACTATTGGGAAAGAAAGGAGTTTAAATGAGGGACAGTATATCATATAAATGGTAAAGTGGACCTGCACTAGAGTTCAAATCCCTGCTTATCCCAAAGTTTATTGTATGATATTGGGTAAGTTACTTTTATCCCAAGTCATTCCTTATAACATAATCTGGCAAAGTATTATTAAGGTTTTCAAGATGAAGAATTTGAAAGGTTCTCAGAAGACCTACCCCTCCCACCTCATTTCCCTTTTCAAAAACTGTTAATTTCTGATATATGCCTGGTATGGATATGGCCAGGGCTTTTTTTGTCATAGAAAGCCCAAACGGAGTTCCGGCACCTTTTTTGGATGGAACCTTGTAGGGTAGGCAAGGCAGGTTGTATAACGTGTGTGAGTTCTGGCACCTTTTTTTTTTTTTTACACTGCAGCTATGATCACAGCTATATGTTTGCTCATCTCTGTCTATATGATGATTGCCCCTATGCAGTAGTTTCAGAAATAGAAAAAAGCAGGAACTAAATTATTTAGTAATTTAATAAATTATTAAAGTATCATTGATTTGGTAAATTGATTTCATGATCAAATATCCTGTTCACATAATTGCTATTGGAATTATGAATATGATTCTCTCAGGATAGTAAAATTATATTCATATGCCTACTATTTCTATTGAACTCTGAACAGATAGAATAGATTTGCATTGTTAAGTTCTTGGAGAAATTGACTTAAATGCCTGATGGTCCATAAAACAGAATTAAATCTATATCTCTTAATTCATAGCAAAATCTCCTTTTAGGAGGTCTGGGAGAATTTCTTCCATCACTTCTGGAAAGCATTAGAGCTGCGGTGGTGAACCTATGGCACGTGTGCCACAGGCGGTACGCAGAGCCGTCCTTGTGGACATGCGCGCCATCATCCCAGACAGATGGATGCAGGGCCAGGCTGCTCCGCTTCCCCTCTCTTCCATGCATGCAGAGTCTGGGAAAGCTGTGAGAGCTGGGCGAGGAGAGGCTACTAAAGGAGCAAGTTTTGGCGGGAGCAGCATTTGGTGCAGACAGTGAGTGAGCAAGCATGAGTGACCAGTGGTGAGTTTCAGTGGCTGCTGCTTTGAGCCCCTCAACTGGCTGACCATGCAGGAGAGGAGGGGGGTAAGGGACCGCCCAGTATCTGGAGCTGCCTCGGCTGCTCGCTGGCCTCAGCAGGCCCTAACGAGGCAGCGGAGTTCACCCAGCCTTGTGGGACGGCGCCCCAGGTAGGCTCTGGTTAAGCCAGGCGGGCCCAAGCAACCAGCCAGCCAGCCAGTGAGAGCAGCGCCTGAGCAGGGTTTGGAAGGGGGGTCAGGTTCTGGCCCCTTCTACCTTGCTTGCAAATTTGTCCAGGGGCTGGGGAGAAGTTGGCTGCCCAGGCTTGTGGGGCTAAGGTGGCGGCAATGGCAGCAATGGTGGCGGTGATGGTGGCAATGGCGGTGGCGGTGGCAGCGGTGGAGGGGGCAGCCTGGGCAGGCTGTGGTTAAACCAGGCGGGACCGAGCAGCCAGCCAGCCAGCTGGTGACACCCCGCGAGAAGTTGAAATTGATTGATTGATTGAACTTTTTTTTTTTTGCACATGGCGGCGGAGGCCTAAAGCGACAAGGTTTTATAAAACTCAGCTGAAGGCCTAGGACTGGGGCGAGGGTGCGGGTGCCCACAGAGGGCTCTGCATGCCACTTGTGGCACCCAGGCCATAGGTTCGCCACCACGGTC